CCACCATTGACAAAGATTGGTAAAGACTTTCCTGACACTGTGTAAAAAACTCAAGCCCATTTGATTGTAGCTGACAAAAGCTGTTGTTTTAGAGCTTTCAGTGGTGCTCATACACTATGTCCAAAAACCAATTCAGCAGTGCTAAAACCCAAGGACTCTTGTTTTGCTTCACGAGCTGCAAAAGTAGGAAAGGTAGCCCTTCATCCCAGTTCCTTTCAGTCTCAAGACAGTATTTTTGCATCATCGCCTTTATAATCTGATGCCATCTTTCTAGTGCTCCTTGTGACTGAGGGTGGTAAGGGCTGAAGGGGATATATAAAATGCCAAATGTTTGTAAAGTCTGCTTAAACAGTTTTGACTGAAAATTGCTGCCTTGTTCAGTTTGAATAACTCTGGGCAGACCAAATGTTGAGAAGAGTCTTAGTACGGCCTTATGGTGGGAGCAGTGATTTTTTGAAGAGGAATGCCTTCAGGAAAACAGGTTGCAGCACACATGATCGTCAAGAGAAACTGATTACCAGCTTTTGTTCTTAGTAGGGAACCCACACAATCCAGCAAGACACGCTCAAAAGGCCCACCAAGTCCTGGGATGGGTTAAGGGTAGGGATGGGTATCGTTTAGGTTTTATCTGATACCGGTGCCAAACCGGTACTTTTGAAACGGTGCCGGTGCTTAAACGGTGCTCAAACAGTGCTCAAACCGGTGCTTAAAGAATGGAGAACACAAAATTGGTCCAAAAACCTCTCATGTTCAGCTGTTTTTTTGTAAAAAGATAACAATGTTAGCCTTTTCTGCAGCTATGGGGCATATATGGTATCACTCTTGGCTGGAAGCAGTGCTTAAACAATGGAAAAAACACAAACTTTGTCCAAAACCTCTCATGTTTAACTGTTTTCCACTTTTTCTTTGGTCATTTTAGCCTTTTTGGCCAGGGTGAAGGGAGTATCTGCCATCAAACAAGAAGACAGCCGCATGTAGCTATGATGATGTTTGCTAGTTCACCTTACATGCATTAATGTAATAACGTGGTTAGCCTACTCAACGTAAATTACACACGAACAACATTAAGCTACTCACGCAGAGAAGAACGGCTGCTGCTGCCATCATCATCCGTCATCATTTCTGCTACACTGGCAGGGCTAGGGGCCAGGACTCTCCTCTTTGGGTTTTTGGGGGATGTTGCTAACTCCGGGTCCGATAACAGGCACCACACCCGCAGTAGATGTGCTCGGTGTGAGGTCTCGCAGCAAGCTATCAAATACGGCGCATTTCTCGGCTTTAAAAAAACGCTATGCGTCGCCAGGTGTTTCATCGGATTTGAGGTGTTACCTCCTTTGACAGTATCACAGTATCAGCTTAAAGCACTTGTTGCAGGCTGCTGAGTTTGCATATTTTGCTGTGAAGTACAGCCAGACTTTTGACCGCTTCGCCTTGGGCATTTTTAATCTGTAGCTCTGCTCTAAAAGAACGTACGTACCTGGCCCCGCCTACTATCCTCGGAAACGTAAAATGATTGGCTAGAAGTGTATCACAGCTCAGGAAAAAAAAGCACCGAAATAAAGCACCGAAATGTGCGCTGCTTTTCGGTCTGGTTACTACCGTTTATGTCAGAACCGGTGCCATCATGGTGTAACATAGTTAAATAGAGTCGAAGTTAAATCCCGCTAAATGGGACATTGGCGCCACCTACTGTCGAAAAAGTCACCCTGCAATATTCACAAAGGGCAAGGGATTCTGGGTAATCCTCAGAATAATGGAGGATTCCTGCGAGGTAAGGAATGCGCAAATGTCGTGGGGAGGAAAAATCATATCGCAGGCTGTTAAAGTAATACAGTCTGACCCGATTATTTTTGTTGTTTATACATCATTTGTTGCGGGTCATTTCTCCAGTCTTTATGTTGAACTGAGTGCACGTTTATGTGAGATTTCTTTATTGGGAGGAGAGGAAACAAAATGGGAGCATAGTTAGCTAACTCTGTTGTTGCTTTCCCGTTTAGATTTTGTGCTGATTGCCCACGACATTAAAAAGAGAGCATTCTAACCATTGCCTTTTTGTTGTGAATGCAGGTATGTGACTGTGCCACACTGTTTAGAGAATTTACATTGTTTCATGTACAGCTTTAAAATATATTTCTATATTCCTTTCATTTGGGAAATTTAACATGCAATGTTAATGGTGTTGAAGTTTTTCTATTTTGGTTGTATAAATTTACCACTATACGATCACACTGCAAGTGGAAATGTAATCCTCAGAATAATGGAGGATTCCTGCGAGATTTTGTGCTGATTGCCCACGACATTAAAAAGAGAGCATTCTAACCATTGCCTTTTTGTTGTGAATGCAGACCAGAGAAGACACTACACAGAGGTCACAATGGCACCGGATACTGGTACCCATCCCTAGTTAAGGGGAACAGGTTGTACTATCTGATTAGGTTTACCCACAATTTGGCAAACCCTGCTTCTTCTACAGAATCTGGCAACGTCTTTCTTCAGACCTGGAATAAATGCTGAAGAATGCGTTCATAGGTTTTAGTGATTGTTAAATGACCTGACCGTGGGTGTTCATGCGCAAGCTGCAATATGCCATCACGGAATCCCTTAGGAATGACTACTTGATGCACCACCCCCCCAATCTTCATCGATCCCCTTCTGCTGTGCAGCAGGTCTTGAGACCCATTTCCTCAGCAGTAACCCATCCTCGAGATAAAACTTGTGTGCCTTTTTATTATTTGTTACCTTGCTTACCCCTTTAAAACATTTAGTGAGTGTCTGATCCTTTTTGCTCATCGAGCACTGATTTGAAAGGGCTGGCAGCTGGCAATCTGCCCTCTGTTAGAACAGGTCCAAGAACAGGCTTACTCGAGTTCACTTCCTCCAGCTTACAAGCTTGCAAAATTCAATCAAAATAGATCAATAAAAGCTTAGCTTGTGTTTTACTTTTACTTTGATAAATGTGGCTAATTCATTATATTTTAACATATGGAGACTCTAAGCATGTACATTTACAGTAACAGAAATAATTATTTGATCTCCTGTTTAATTTGAATGTTTACTCACTTACATAGAAGTAAACAATCTCTATTTTATGCTTTATTATTTTATTATTATGGTCATTTTAATGGGGAAACACATCAACCAAAAAATCCACAAAAAACATTACATCAAAGTGAGAAAACAATTCGCATGTCACAGAGTGTCAAGAAGTAGAGACTCCTTCTCCCAACTCATGAGGATGAGAAAGGTGGTGGATAGCCCAAAACTAAAGAGCAGGAACTTGTTAATAATGTGTGTTGGACCATAGTCACCTAGTCACTGTAGGTGGTCAAGGTTCCCCTACTCCAGATGGCACACGTACAGACCAACTTATGTTTGCCAGTGACATCTAAATGATTCAGTGAAAGCTTGATGGAAAGTGATGTGGTCAGATGACAGCAAAATCAAGTACAGGGATCTTGCACCATGAAATCTTCAGTGTTCGTGAACTCAGCCAGAACACGGAAGATGAGTGATGGATGAGTCCAAAAACATACCATCAAGCCAACAAAAGATTGGGTAAAGATGAAGCACATTGACATCATGGAGTGGCCCACGCAGTCCCCACACCTCAGTCCTATATGAAAACTGAGGAAGGAGCAAAAGCTCCACCAAGTGGCAGCCAAGGAAACTACAGGATTTAGAAAACTTTTGTAAAGAGGAGTGGGCTAATATCCCTCCTGAGATGTGCACAAATTGGGGGCATAGTGGAAGTGTCAAACATGCAGCCTACTGGCCTTTGGAGAAAAGTGAAGTGATGGCAGCATTATTTCTGAGAAGTAGAAATGTTTGGAAACATTTCTAGATTAAATGTTTGGATCCATGTCAAGGGGCTTTTTGGCTGCATTTGATATTTCATTTTATAATTAATTTTTTGCTCTTCCTGATTTCAGACTTCCCCAAAGGATTTGTACCTTCTCCCAGGATCAGGCTACGGATATTTTGATTGTTAGGCACTACTATGACTTATAGCCACTATTTCTCTGTCTTTGTTTAATCTTTTCTAGCCATCGTTTTTTTCAAGCAGAGTCATGGTCTAAACACTTTGTTGTCCCAAACACATTTCATTTACCAAGAAGAGCACTGAAGATTCTCTATAGGCTCTTAGTGTTAGTCTTTTCTTCCCTTTTGCTTTCTCTTGTTTCTTTTCTTTTATCTTCGTGGTTATACAAGCAGCAATGACCAGTGTGGAGTGGTAGGCAGTGGATTATTTTTCTAAATATACATTATTGTGGTTTTATTTCTTTAGCCTACTTGCAGTTAAATTGGGTTACATGTGGTTCACAAACTAAAATGAGTTTGACACATCTGCAATAAAACATGCAGTTTATATCACGTGAAACTTTATTTATCATTCTACTCTTTGATATTTTTTGATGAAAGAAAGATTATGGTGCATCCTTAACAGTGTGAAGTCTGTTCATAGGTAAATAGGTGAGACATCTTTGAACAAAGGATTTAGGCGTGGAGTCCAAAACTATATGAATAAACTTAACCACACCTCAGGGCAGCTCAGCCACCGCACCCTCTGCTGTTCTCATTACATTATATTTCTCATCTTACATGGGCATTTTAAATGCAGAAACTATGACCATATGTTTCAGAGGGATTGTGTTTATTATGAAATAAATATCAAAACTT